ACTCTTTTATCATTTTCGTTTTCGTTTTTGTTTTTGGCCCTCCCTGGCAGTGCCTAGCCCATTCAGCCTGTCGCCGGCGGGCCGCGCGTGGGCGGGGCGCCGCTGCCGGTCAGCAGAACGATTGTGCTTGGTCGCTCCGTCTCTCTCGCACCCCCACGGCCCGCCCCGGGAGAGCGAGAGAGACGGGGCGAGCTGCAGCAGCAGCAGGGAAAGGGGCGCGCACCGCGGCCTACTTCCGGGCAGCTAATGAAGCGCGCCGCGTCGCCACCAACAACGCCCTGGTCGACGAGGACGTCGCCGTTAGGCATTTATTCCTTTGTTTTTCCGCTCAGCCAATCCCCTGTCGGGCTTCGGCGGGCTTCGCACCGGATGCACACAGCCTAAGCCTAAGGGCACAGCGCAGCATGTGGCGCATCGAAGGGCTATCGGGTGTGGTGGTGTGCGCGAGCTGCGCGAGCCCCTTCAAGCTCACCAAAGTGTATCGACTTACACGGCGTGCGGGGTGACGTCATCCTCGCCACACAAAAGAAAAGAAAAGCGAGTGTAGTGGTTCGAACACACCGTTCGGTTCGGGTCGTCGTCGTGGTCGGACGGGCCTAGGTCGCCTGCTACTTGCATACCTCGCTTATCTCGGATGGGACCGGGCGCAGCGCGGCGCAGCGGCCCTTCACGGGGGTCGCTCCTCTTTCTCCCGAACCTCGTCGTCCTCGTCGCCCGCGTCCACGAAATGGGGGGACAGGGACACGAGGGGACACGGATGCTGGCCGCCCCTCTCCTCTCCACATTCCGACCGGCCGTGCCGGCCATGCCGCCGGCCCGCCGTCCCGGCCCAGGACAGACCTGTCTGAGTGTGTTTCGCTGTAGTGCCCCGATAGCCCTATCACCCATCCGACCCGACGGCCGACGGGCACGGCCGCGCTGCCATGGACCAGGCTCGGCTCCGCCCCGCTGCCCGCCGGCTGGCCCGGCTGGCCAGGGCCCAGCTCTGCTCTGCTCGGCTTGACTCGGCTCAGCGTGATGGATCTGGTGCGAGTGTGCACGCACCGCCATCTGATTTACGTTTGTATTTACGTCGCGGCCCAAAGTGCTCAGAAAACCAGAGAACCGCCGGCGTCGTTTCATAGAGGCGGCCGGTACCCTGGGCTGGCTGCTGGGGCTGGCTGCTGCGGCTGGCTGCTGCGGCTGGCCGCCAGCTCGGGCTGTCCGGCGGGCCGTGGGCGTAAACGGGCGGCGCTAGGCGGTATGCTAACGAGGAACGAGGCCAGATTCCTCGAACGGCTCGTTGTGAGAACCTCGATCCTCGATGCACTGCCCCCGACACTCCCCTCGCCGGGCTTGCCTCTGGGGCCTCGCCGCCGGTTTCATCATCGGTTATGATGAGAAATTTGGCGGCCAGCAGCCGACTCGCCCCCAGGACCACCACGACGAACACCGAGGTCTGGACCACGCCGCGCCCGTGGCCAGAAGGAGGACAAGTACCTCACCCTTCCGCTCCCACACACGCCTCGTTGTTATCCAACAGGCCCTCCACGAGGACGGCGGGGAGCGAGTCGATATTCAGGAGGCCCGCGGCAGAGTCAACGCCACCCTGCTTATCGCCACGATAACAACGCGCCGGCTGCCTCGAGTGCGTGTGTGTGCGTGTGTGCCCCCAAAGTGGACAAGGCCGACACACAGGCGCCGGTCGGGCGGCGCATGGCGGCATGGCGGCATGGCGTGGTTGGCCCAGACAGAGCAAACAGGGACTCTCCGGCCGGTCCGCGCGGCCCTGGACGTTGTGAGCGACACCTCGATCGAGGACTTCTCGATGGCGGCGGCGCGGCGGCGGTGATGACGCAGGCAAGCAGGCCCTCGTTTAGACTCCGCGGCGCGGCGCGGGGCCGCCGCGGCACCATAAAAATATAGTGCCACGTCTGGCAGTCGGCGGAGGTGGACCAGATGCACTCAGGCGCCGCCACGCCACGGCAGCGCGCAGCCTGCGCAGCCACACCCTCGGAGCACCGCGGCGGGACGGCCTGAGTCACCCGCTGCACCCGCCGCAGCAGCACGCCGATAAAGACTCGGCCTGATATTGCTGTGTGATGCAAGCGCGAGTGGAAAGGTGCCATGCGCGCACACACAGACACAGAGACGCACACAGACGCGCGGACAGACGCGAGGCCCGCGGCCGTGGGACGAGACAGGTCTGAACTTGCTCCATGCGTTATCGGCAAGGCAGTCATGCCATGCGCTGCGTGCAGCACGTCGTGCAGCTACCGGCCTCAAGTTGCACAGGGTTGCGCGCCGTCTGTCTGCAGTCCGCTTTCTCGCCGCGCGCACACACACGCACGCACTTCCTCCAGAAGCCGCTGATGGCCCTCGGCGCGCTGAGCGCTTAGCGACGCCCCCTCCGCTCCCCCCTGGGGCCGTCGGCGCCCCCTATTCTCTCCGCCCGGCCGCCGTGTTTCGGGGAAAAAGATAGTCTATTAAAAGTGCATCGGCGTGGCGTGGCGTGGCACGCCCAACCGCGCAACGCACAGAAAGCCAACAAAGGCCTCACGGTGGACCGGGCGATGGCCACTTGGTTTAGCCATGGATGGTCACTTCGGGGTGCTGCAGGCTGAGCACGCTGAGCGGTCTCGTCACTGTGTCTCTCTGGCGCGCATGCGAGGCGTCCCGCGAGGATGAGAGAGTTCGGGACGAGCCTGCTGCTGCTGCCGTTGGCGCCGTGTGTTGGCGCTCGCCCCGCTCCGCCGAATGACGTGTCTGACGGGTCGGCCCTCCGCCACGGCCGCCACGCCGCCACGGCCAAGCTGCACTTCCTCACGACGCCGAGCGACGCCGAGCACGTCCCCAAGTGCCTCACGCACGCACGCTTGCACGCTCGCAGCGCGCCATTGCACGCACGCCAATTTCACGGCGCGTTTAGTCTCCTGTCATCCACCTTTCGGCTCCCAGCGCCGCGGCCGTAAACTAGACTATGAATATCCCGGCGCGGCAGCGCGGCGTGCCTCTAGGCGTGCGGCCGTCGACGCCGACGTGCACGCCGCGGCCCCAGAGCCCGCTTCCCTCCAAACCCCGCCGGCAGGGCAAGCAGGGCATGTCCGAGCCACTCCACTTTGGCCGCAGTGTCACAGTCACAGAGGCGGCGGGGAAGGGAGGGGAGGGGTGCCCTACCCCGCCGCCGGGCCGCCACCCTACGACATGCCATGCCGCGCTGGCGCCAGTCTGCCCTGGGACAGGCGGCGACCGGCTCGGCTCGGCCGCGCTCCGCCCGTCCCGGCTGCGCTCGACGGCGTGCTCGGCTCGGCCCCCGAATCGCAGGCAGTAGACAAGGCGATGCAGCGCGCCGGCAAGGCAGCGGCAAGGCAGCGGCAAGGCAGCGGCAAGCCCACAGCCAGGCAGGCAGGTAGGCAACCCCCTGAAGGGCACCGCAGGGCGGCCGCCAGCCTCGTCCGACCGGCCCCTCCCCCTCCCCCTCTTCTCTACCTTCGCTCCGAACAATCGGGCTGGTTGACCTGCTGCTGCCTGCGCCGGCCCGCCGGCCCTCGCACAATCCTCCACACAAAGACACAGCGAAAAAAGAGAAGAGAGGTAAACCGTTGCTTTATTTGTGGGCGCCACGAAATCGACGAAATCGCCTTTATCCGCGTTTGGCTGGGCTGTGCTGCGCTGTGTAGGGCTGCACGCTGCACTTCCCGGCCGGCCGCGGCCTTCCGTGTGACCCGACCTGACTTGCCGGCTTGCCTGGCCGGCTTGCCTGGCTTGCCGACAAGACGGCCATGTGTGCGCACCGTGCCCGCCGTGCCCGCCCCCTCCTCGGAACGCCAATCGGGCGAGACGCGAAAATTGCGAAAATCGTCGCCGAATCTCCTCCCCCTGCCAGGCACTGCCTTGCCGCCTTGCTCTTGGCAGCTCTGAGGGCCGGCAGGGCCGGCAGGGCCGCCAGGGCCGCCCCTCCCCGTCGGGCCGTCGGGGTGGCAGGGCCAGCGCACTGCTGGCGCCGCGGCTGATGGCCGGTCAGATAGGCAGGCCGTCAGCCCAGCCCAGCCTGGCCAGCCGTCCCCACTTGGTGGTCACGGCAGTGGAAGCGCCGCGGCCACCTCGCCGCCGCTCCCCGCCGACGTGCACTTGGCGGCGACAGCGGCGACCGTGTGCGGCGACCACCAAGGCCTTACCGGGAAGGGTGGCCGGCCAGGCGCCAGGCGCCCCGGGCGGCTGCCAGTGCTTCCGGTGTAGGCACTCCAGCTCGCCGATGTTTGATGTTTACCCGCTTCCGGCGGCCGGGCGCAGCGCGCAGCCAGGCGCAGCCTGCGCAGCCAGCCAGGTGGCTCTCTATTCCGGGGAGACAGTGCGAGCAGCTCGCCTCCCTCCGGGCGCCCCGCCCCGCCCCGCCCCGCCCCGCCCCGCCCCGCGACCGCAAGAATGGCAGGCCGCGTGGCCGGGGCACTGCGCTTTGGAATGACATTTCGGTGCATTTTCGCGCGGCCACTCCACTGACTCTGACTGCGCGGCTGCGCGGCTCCGCGGCTGATTGGTCTGACGGTGTGTCGGGGCCGCGGCGTGTCCCGCGGCGCCCTCCCCTCCCCTCCCCGTCCCGCCCGTCTGGCTGTCTGGCCGCGGAGTGGCGCCGCGCCGTGCCTTTCACCCGAACGCGGCGCCGGCGCCAGCGATCCGCGAGCGCAACGGGCGGCGCGGCCTCGACGGCGAGGAAAAAAATCTTTCGAGGGATTTGAACCCGCGACCTCCGCCCCGTAGAGGAGGTGCAACCGCCGCCTTGCAACCGCCGTCGCGGTCGCCCCGAATGCAAAGCTTGATGCCTATCCGCTGCGGTGGGCGCTATCACGGCCTGCATCGGGAGCTACGACACTTGGCCGCTTCGGTGGCACCACGGCGTCGACGCGAACCTCCCCTCCGAGTCCACGGCGTCCACGGCAACGCAGCCCCCTCGTCACGCCGCTGACTTCCCTCCGCGGCACGGCGCGGTGCGCGGTACGCCCCCGTCAGTCCAAGCAACTCACCTGGAGACCGCTGGCTCCACTGTTCCAGGTCCACGGGGTGCTGGTGGCCGACGCTGTGGCCGACGTCGACGTGCAGGGCGAGTGACAGCGAGGAGGGTGCGGGCGCCAGCGCCACCACCAGTCCCAGCACTGCCACCCACCACTTGAGCGAGGACGCCGACATGGTGACCGCCTTGTCCACCCGGGTGTACACGGGGAGCCTCATAGGGGCATGATGGAGAAACACGCGGAACGGAAGCGGAGGGCGTTCAAAACTTGGGGGAGGCCCAGACGTAGTCACAGAGACGGGAACGAGGAGTGCGCGCGCGGCACAGCGACCCTCTCTGATGCGCGGCCGTGGCCTAACTGACGGGACGGGACGGGTCGGATCGGAACGGGTCGGCGTCGGCCGGCCGTGGAGCGCCGGGCCGGCACGGCGGCACGGCAGCCAGACTCCCCTCCCCCTCGCCATGCTCGCCATGCTCACGAGGCGACCGGCAGGCGCCAGCGGCGGCCCAAGCAGTTCCACCCGGGCCCCGGGCGAGGGGGCGGAGCGGAGCGGGGAGTCTGGGGAGGGGAGCTTCCAACAGCAGCGAGGCAAGCGGCGGCAAAGCACTCCATGCCTGTCGGCCTGAGGAAGCTAAGCTAAAATAAAGGTGAAGTGAAGCAGAGGAGGAAGCGGCCTGCTCTAGTGGCGGTCAAGGCACGGTCGAGGGGTGACGAGCGAAAAGGCGAGGCCGGATAGCCGCCTGCTTCACCGGGACCAGTTTTAAAAGGGTCCTTTGACAAATCGGCGAACTCTAACATTTATCATCATCGACCAGGATGCGCCAAACCGAAACCGTCAACACCGTCCGTCAGTGCATTCCCTGGCCACCGCTTAAAATTACAAGGGACAATTATGGGTCGCTGCGCGGCTCCATGTTGCGTACGTACACTGTTACACTCGGCCCGATCAAGGGCCGCCTTGACTTATTTAGACCAAACTAATTAAGCCATAACGATGAGGCCTACGCGCGCACGCACCACATGACCACACACACACACACACACACACACACACACACACACACACACGCATACACGCTCTCTCTCTCTCTCGATCAAGTGTGTGTGTTTTATAGAGCACCTGATCAATTTCTCATCTCTTCATCGTCTCACTGTCTCCTCTCTCTCACTCCGGGCTCCGAATGAATGGTGGGCGAGCGCAGAGGTGGCTGCACCTTTTGTCTCCGTCGCACCTCAGGCGGCCACATCGTGGCCACATCGAGATGGAGAGAGACAAAAGACGTGCGCGCGCGCGCGCGCGCGTGCGTGTGTGTGTGTGTATGTGTATATGTGTGTGTGTAAGTGTGTGTGTGAGCAGACGCCGGGTGGTCGGCTGGCCCACGGCAGGCCCCACGGCTGGCCCCCTCCGGGTTCCTCTTCCTGCGGTAGACTCGGCTGGTCGACACCGGCCCGAGGCCCGATGCGATGAGGGAGGCAGTTTGATTATGATTTCCTCGGCACGGCGCGCACGGCGCTAAGGCGACGGCCCGGCGGCCGATGGCGGCAGCAGACGCAGCTGCTGCAGGCTGATTCCGAGGGTCGTTTTCGTCGCTCTGTCTACATCTCGCGTATATCGCCCCATGAGTGCGAGAGAGACAGCGGCGAAAGCGACTCCGGCGCTGGCGGCCAGGTGAGGCCAGGTGAGCCGGCCGCACGCGCCGCGGCGCCGTCCTCGGCCGCCGAATGGAGCAGCTGCAACCCGACATCCCGACGACGAGGCGCCTCCCTCGGACTTTAATCCGAATAAATAATTTGAAGAAACAATCGAGCAGCGCGCCGCTGTTTTCTGGAAGTGTAAGTATTTTTTTCGGGTCGCCGTGTTTCCGTCCCACGTGCACACACACACACACACACACACACACACACACACGCACACAGCAGCGTCATCCGTGTTTGCAGACACGCTCGGGAAATTTGTCCTCGTCCGCACCTTTCGGTCCTTTCGGTCCTTTCGGGAGCGAGGTCAACACTATTTGCACCTCTTATCTTCGGCGGGGCCCGCCGGGCCTAGGGATGGGCCTCGGCTCTGTTTACATTGCCGCAGCGTTTTTGGCGACAGAGCGCTCCCCTTATCGGGCTGGCTGGTCGTGCTGGCCGTGGCTGGCCGCGAGGCGGGGTTGGGGTTCAACGGCCGGCCGGCCAAAAAGACGTTCGAAAATTCCCGCGGCTGGCACGCCTGCCCCGCCGAGCGGCACTGGTTGCCATGGCGACCGTATCGGCGCCGCCATCGCGCGGCACACTGACCCCAGGCGCGGATCGGGGGGGGGGGCTTCCCCCTGAAAGCCGCCCGCCCGCCCTGCAGGGAGGCAAGAACTCGCACTTTGCCTCGGTAAGTAGGAAAATTTTGAAAAACACACATCCTGCACCCGTCTCTGGATCCACCTTTGAAGGAACCCGGCGAGGGTAGGCCTGGTGTCGCGGAGCCGCGCGCGCGCGCGTCGAGGCGCTGCACTGAGAAAGCGGGTGTTTTCTATTTTCCCAGCGCAGGCTTCGGCCTAGCGTCGGCCTAGCGTCGGCACTCCCGAAGGGCTGAGCTTTCTGGAAGGCGACTATGCCTGCCTGCGTGGTTGGCTGCTTGGCTGCTCGCCGCGCTTGCCGCACGGCGTTTGGGTCTCCCATTATGTCCCTACCCGGCGAGCATTCCCCGCTAATAGCAGTCGTCGGCAATCTTCCAGCCAGCGGGGCGGGGCGGGGCGGGGCGCCTGGCAGGGAGAGGGGGTATTGGCAGCAGCGCGGGGTATTTCTCGGTACTAAACCAAGAAAGAATACCACACGGCCAAACGACGTCTTTAGGCAAGTCTTCGACCGACGCAAAAAATAATCACGCGCCCCGCAATGCAAAATGTTTCCCCTCTCCCTTTGACTCTTTTATGCACATGTACTCTTGTGCACTTGTGCACTTGTGCCCTGGGAGCTGCAGGGCATGCAGGGCGCCTTCATCCTCCGGCTGGACGGCGCTATCACCAGTCCAAAGGTTTGTGTGTGTGTGTGTGTGAGTGTAGTGTGTGTCTGTGTTTGTCGGTAGGGGCGGCGCCCCCGAACAGCAGGAAGTTAATGTCGGCGCCGTCTGTGTGCGTGTGTGTGAGTGTGTGCGTGTGAGTACCCGTCCTGCCGCCTGCGGCCCTGCACTGTGCGGTGATTGTGATTGACTCCCGGCCACGCCTAACACCCCCGTGTGAGAACAACAAGCCGGCAGGGCGGCGATCTTCTCGGCCCCGGCGGCCCCGGCGCCTCAACGCGGCCTGTGGCGCCGTGGCGCCTGCACTGTATACAGCGTCCAAACACCAGCAGGCTCGTTTCGAGCAGTTGTTCAACGCGCTGTCTCCCTCGCACTCAGGCGCCCTGCCAGGGTCCGAGCGAGACGGTGGTTTAGGGGGCGCCAAAGGCGGGCCCGGCCGCCAAGGCGAAGGGCGCCGCCGTGCCGCCGTTCGTCGTGCGTTCAGGTTCCCTCGCGACGACGGTTCGGTTACGCGGCACGCCACTGGTTGCGGCGCCGCGTCGCACTGCGCGTCGATGACGACGATGACGACGCCGACGACAACGACCCGCAACTTGACACAATGTTGCACCATGCCGTCCGCGGGCCATTATTAGCGGCAGGGACGCCGATATGGCCGATAAGGGTGATAAGATTGCGCGACGCTTTGAGCCATCCCGCCCCGCCCCGCCCCGCCCCGCCACCAGGAGCAGCGCGCCGAGCCGCACTTTCGATTCTGTTGCGTGATGTGACGCGGCGACGCGCCGATAAGCGCCTCCTTTCGTCGCTCCGTCTCCCTCCCACCCTTGCGGACCCTGCGGCACGCTCGGGTGCGAGAGAGACGGAGCGACAAAAGCCGCACCGCCGCCGTCGTGCGTCTCGAACGGCAGCAGCGGCTTGGCTTCACGGAGGGTCAGTGTGTTGCATTGCTGAGCGGCAGGCCGCCGGTTCGATCCCAGGCAGGCGCTGAACGTATCAGCAGCTCAGCCAAGAAGTCCTCAGGGCCGCACCCATGCCATCACGCCCGGCTAGGCGCGCCGCGTAGCGCCGCGAGGCCCCGCTGGGGATGCGCGGAGCATGCGAGTGGCTTTACGACCGTCGCATTGTGCATGTGCGCGGCTGGCACGGCCATCACGCCTGCCTCCGTGGCCTCCGTGGCGTCCGTGACTCACCTGCTGCTCCTGCTGCTCGCGGTGGCCGTCCTGGCGTCGTGGGAGTGCGCAGACCTTTCCCCGCGACCCCGCCGGGGCACCACGCCCTACGCACGCCCTACGCACGCCCTGCGCACGCCCTGCGCCACGCCCTACGCACGCCTGCAGCGATGAGCGACGAACGCGCACCGTGTTTTGTCTCTCAGACACCGACGGAACGGAACGCCCCATGAGAGCGAGAGAGACAAAGCAAACCTCGGTTCAGAAGCCGATGGAGCTCGGTGATCCCCCTTTCATCGCGGAAAATTGTTCAGACTTTGAGTGTCTGTCAGCCTCCTCTTGCCGACGCGAAGCTGCGAGTCCCTTTCGGCCTATCTGGCGCACTTTGAGGCGAACACGGAACTTCAATCCCTGGATTCGATTCAAGGGCTACAGTAAACCGCGAGCATGCTGAGCAGATGCAAAGACCTCGCGAACGAGAACGCTCACCTCCGAGATGCATGCAGTGACATTGCGCGATTTCCGCCCAAATCTCAAACGCCAACTTCTCCTCCCCCTCCACGAGGTCGCGGTGCGCCAAGCTCCTCAAAAACGCGTCGGTTTGTTCTTCCCTACTTAGCGGCTGAATGCCGCGGACAACACGCGAGAGAGACGTCGCCGTCGTGGCGGGGCCGAGCGGGGCCGAGCGGGGCCGAGCGGCCGGGGCTGCAGCCGTGGAGGCAGAGAAACAACAACAACAAATAAAAAGGGCACGACGCGGCGACGCGGCCGGACCGGCAAAATAAAGAAAAGAGCTCGAGATATCGAGAAATGCTTTAAAACGGAGAGCGGGTCGGGGGGCTCTTAGTCTCTTAGGGAGGCTGCAGCGGCGAAGGGGCGAGGAGGTGAGCACGTATAACTTGAGTATCTTATCTCCGCGAGTGCCGCTCCGTCCGAGTGGCACGCCTTTTAACCCCCGCAACCCCCTCCCCTCCCCCCTCCCGCCGAAAATACAGAATCGTAATTCTATTGGGCATCGCCAGGGCATCGCGGGAAGTGGCGGCCCATGGGTCCCAGCGGGGCCGTCGCCATGGCGGGCCTGGCGGGCCGCACAACACCATCAGTCGCGGGTCACCGTAAAGCCGATCGGAACGAGGCACTTCTCGGCCTCCTTCACTAAAAAGAGACACCTGATTTATGAATGGCGGCGCGCAG